CGTGCATGTGTGTTGAGGCTGCAGATGGCACCAGACACTTGAAGCAGCCGGCACAGAGGCAAACAGTGCCAAAGCCAGGACTGGGGCCAGGACTGGGGGCGGCCTTCACGCTCAGCGAACCCGGGCCACCGCTGCGCTCTGCCTGCCGCCCAGGGACCCGTTTTCCTCCAGCCTGTGCAGAGCCACCCCCGTAGCAGGGTAGGGCTGGGAGAACACCCTCCTTCAGTGCAGCCATAACTGGCAGCCCCAGCGGGGCCACCACGGACTGCTTTGCTCTGCGTGTGGGCTTTTTCTGGCCCAGGGGCCACTCCCTGTAATGCTTAGTGATCGGTCACACACAGAGCCTGCTGTGTCCTGAGCCCCCACCAGGCAGGTGACACACCCCATACTCCTTCCCCTCACTCCCCTACAGGAGATCTACCTGCACATCCGGGCGGCTCTGCTGCTGAAATATCACCCAAAGCCACTGACCCTCATCTCCGCCACAAACACCTCCCTGTTCAAGCCTGCTCCCCGATCCCAAACCTGGGGGCCACAGCAGCCTCTCGCTGTCTGCCTGCTTTCCCTCTCACCCCTGTCCCGTTCAGCCCATAACCACCTTCGTGAGACATGAAGAGTCCTCAGATGGTTAAAGGGACAGTGACCCTATGACCTGGCACCTGTCATGTGACCTCCACTCCCTGGTCCACACTCAAGGGAGAAGAAGGGATGCAGCCACACAAGCTCCCGGGCGCGGAAGCCCGTGGCAGGGATAGTCACAATCACAATGGCTCAAAGGTGGAAACAACCCAAATGTCGACCAGTGGATGAACGGGTATACGGAACGTGGCAGGGCCACAAAAAGCAGTAATATGCAGCCTTAAACAGGAAACGACGCACGTGCCCAGCACCGTTCATTGCCACGGAACAGTCCACTTAAAAACGGTGAAGGTGGTGAATTTTATGATCTATACATTTTACCACAATTTACTTTTACAAAGAATGAAGGCCTGACACACCCTACAGTGTGGATGGACCTCGAAGACCTCGTACTGAGTGAGAAGCCAGCCACAAGAGGCCACGTGGTTCACGATTCCACATAGTTAAAATGCCCGGAATGCACAAATCCACAGAGACAGAAAGCAGATGAGTGGGTGCCCGGGGCTGGGGGAGAGGGCGTGGGGCCTCCTTTTGGAGTGATGGAAGCACTTCAAAGTTGACTGGTGATGGTTACACACCTCTGTGGACATGCTAAAAACCACTGAATGGTACACTTTCGGTGCACAAACTGACTGTATGGGGAACTATATCTCAATAAAACAAAAGATCAAGCCATTCGCCATCACAAACCTTCCCGGGGCCCCTCCCTCGGTGAAATCCAGGGCTCGCCAAGCCACACCAACCTCATCTTGACTCTCACTCTCTCTATGTGCCAGCCTCACTGTCTTCTGATCTGTCCTCAATCTCGCCAAGCCTTTCCCACTTTAGGGCCTCTGTGCCTGCCTGTCCCTCACCTGGGACACTCTTCCCCCATGTTGGGTGGCTGCACCTCACTGTCAGGGTGTCAACCTTCCACCCCGGCCAGTCCCCACATGTCACTCTGTCGCTTCTGAGAACATCCGTTTTATTCATTTGCAGCAATTCTCTCCTGTCCCCCCTAAAACCACACTGGCTCCCCAAGACCAAGGCCCTCACATGCCTCTGATGCTGCTGTTTCCCCAGCACCCAACATGGTCCCTGGCCAGTCCCTGATATGTGCTGCCCCAACCTTGCAGGTCAAGATGCTAAAGCCCAGAGAGCTTGCGAGACCTGCCCAAAGTCACACAGCAGAGCACCACAGCCCTCCCTGCACCTCGGGCCGCCCCCCCAAGTCTGAGGACAAGAATGGAATACTCCCGCACTGACCCTTCTACCCTGCAACCTCAAAGTGGTCTCGCTGACATCACAACTCATTCACACACCTGACCTGGTCCTTAGGGTCCCTGCCCCTGGGTAAGGTCACAGCACGGATTTTCGCATCAGGCTGCACTACCACTGGCTTTCACGTGGTAATGGCACGCCTATCACCACCCAGGACTACAGACTGACACTCAGGCATGCTGTCCTAAAGAATTCAGGGGAAGGAGGAGGTATGGAACCAGCCGCATCCCACCTGTTCTCAGGTATGGGCAACACTCTGGCTTCTATCACGGGAAGACTGCACCCACAGGAGGGCGGGAGGGGAGCCCGCATCCTGTGGATTCTCTCCCCCGCACCAGGCACTGCGGATGTGCCACTCATCACACGCAACAGCCCAACGGGCCTGGAGAGAGCTTGCCCATCCTGCTACCAGGCGTGGGAAAAGCCACCAGCCAATCCAAGACGGCCCAGCCATCCAGGTGGGTGCAGAGCTTTGAACTCTAGCTGCCCAGGTGCAAAGCTTGTATCCCCGCCCCCCCAACATTTCCTCCAACTGAAGGGTTTTTAGCCTCAGCATTGCTGACATTCGGGCCCGCATCCCTCTCTGCGGTGGGGGCCACCCAGGAATCGTGGGGTGTTGAGCAGCATCCCTGTTCTCTACCCACCCGATGCCACGAGCACCCCCCTCCCCCAGACAAGACAACCAAAATGTCTCCAGACACTGCCTAATGTCCCTGCGGGACAGAATCACCCCCTAGTACAGAATATTGCTCTGTCTCACAAGATCCCGTGTTAGCTCACCTCCACCCAGGGCTCACGCCCAACTCCCAGCATAAAGGAAGGTGACAGGGAGGAAAGAGACAGAAAATGGTTACCAGGACCAAGAGAATGGCTGTCCACATATTTTACAAATCTTTTCTAACACCATCAATAGATGACACGTAAGCAAATGTGCTCCCTGCGTTCAAGGGAGTATTACTTGGCCATTAAAAGCAATGAAGTTCTCTGATACCCACTCCAATGTGGATGAACCTGAAAAATATTATGCTGAGTGAAGAGAAGCCAGACAGAAAAGGCCACATGTTGTAGGATCCCATGTATATGAAATGTCCAGAATAGGTAAATCCATAGAGATAGAAAGCAGATTGGTGGTTGCCAGGGGCTGAGGGAAGGAGGAATGGGAGTGACTGCACATGAGGATGGGATTTCTTTCAAGGGTGATGAAAGTGTTCTGGAATTAGACACTGGTGATAGTTGCACAAGTCTGTAAAATACACTAGAAACCAATAATTTTTACACTTTCAACAAGTGAATTTTACAGTACACAAACTAGATCTCAATAAAGCTGTTATTTTAATGAAAACTTTTTAAAAATCAGTAATACAGTTCCAACCCCAATGCAGAAACCAGACCTCCAGTCATGAAAACAGCCATCAACCTAGTATGACCCTCTTCTTCCTGTCACACTACATACACTGACTGCATGAGACAAGATAAAGTGGACATTCTTGCCCTCCGCAGCCCTGACTTATGGGGACACTCAAGGTGCTCGCTTGCTTTAATTGATTCATTCACCGGCCATCTCTTCCTCTACACACTAACTAAGAACATAAGCTGCTGGGGCAGGTACCTGGTCAATGGTGAGCACCCCATCAATATGAACCAAACAAATCCACAGAAATGAAGATACGCATTCTAGCCCATGTGATCATGATCTCACAGAGAAACTGGGAGCTAATTAGAAAAGAGTATGACTGAAAATTCCACATGAAGAATCAGAGACTGAGGCTCGTGTCACAGAGGTACATTGGCCTGGGACAGTCAGATCAGAGGCCAAATCCAGAAACCAGCCATATGGTGTCTGCAGCTCCCATTCAAACCCTTCCCAAGACCTCAGGATGCAGGACAGCAAGGAGGGTCTCACCACTCTGCAGGAATGCAGCAGAGACTTACTGTCACCTGTGCAAAGCGTGCTCTCCTCTCTGACCCACAAGGAAGGACCTGCTAGACAGACTTGACAAAAGAGAGTACTAAGGAGCTTGGGACCTCAGTGGACTCATGTGGCCAGAGAGCTGGGCCCAGGAGAAGAGCCAAGCCTCCAATCCTCTCAGGGCCCACAGTAGCTTCCCAGGTGATATGAGCAGGTAACCGGGCCTGCCCCTGCACGCCAAAAACAGCAAGCAACTTGAGGAAGAACTGTCCCTCCACCCTGGTCCTGAGCGGCCAGGAGCCATCCATGGCCAGCTGTCCCTTGTCTCAGTGGGAGGAACACAACCTGGTCCCCACCATATGGGCTACATGGGGTAGGGGTAGCTGTCTCCACTCCAAGCTCCAGGATGAGCACAATCTGTCTTCCTGACCACCCTCAGGTCCCCACAGAAGAGGGCACCAAAACTTTCCTTCAGATAATCCAAAAGGGAGAAATACCTACCCAACCTCAAGTCTACAAATCACAAATGAAAATACCTATCCTTCCTCCAATACCCAGGGAGTGAAGGTACAGGTGATAAAGATGTAGAGACACCCGTCCCTTCAGGTAGCAATGGTGTGAGGACAGCTGTTCCCTTCAGGTCGCAATGATGTGGGGACACTTTTCCCGCATCAGGTACCAACGATGTGGGAACATCTATCGCCCCCTGCCCAGGTAAAAATGATGCTTGCAAGCAGCGCCCAGTTCATACACCTCACGGTGTCATCCTGTCTCCCCTAGTAGCACTGATATGGAGGCATTTGACCCCCTCAGGTAGCAAGGATGTAGGGACACCTGTCCCTCCTTAGGTAACAAGGATGTGGTGGCACCTACTCCCTCCAGATAGTAATGAGGAAGAGGCCACTGTCCCCTCCGAATAATAATGATATAGTGACACCTATCCCAACCTCCAGGTAGCAATGATGTAGGGGCACCTGAACCCTTTCAGATATCGGTGATGTGGGGGGCACCTGTCCCGCCCACGATGCCCGGGGCGGAGGAACACCTGTACCCTCTGGCTGTGCCAAGCCCCGCCCCGCCGCGCGCGCCCCGCCCCCGCCGCGCGCCCCCCGCCCCGTGCACACGCCGGACACGCGCCCCCTCCCTCCCTTCCTTCCCGGCCCCGAAGGGTCGGGGCAGACAGCCCCCTTACCCGCGCGGCCCGCGTCAGGCTCAGGTCCTTCATGACCTCCTCGAAGGCCGCTGTCTCCTCTGCCTGCTTCTGGTTGTGCAGCGCGATCTTCTCGCTGAATTTCCGCGGATTGTTCGAAGTCGCCATCTTCTCGCCGCCACCTCCTCCTCCTCCTCCTCCTCCACCTCCTCACCCCCCCCCCCACTCGCCAGTGCCACCGCGCAAGCGCCGGCCGGGCCCGCGGGCGGCGGGCAGTGCGCAGGCGCCTTGGTGGTCGTGAGTGCGGCGCAGGCGTACGGGAGCGGCGCGCGGCGCGGGGGCGACAGCGCATGCGCACGCCCTAGCGGCGCTCTCGGGTACAACAGAGGAGGCGGGGGGTGAGGAGAGGCTGGATAAAAAGACTAGGGTTTGAGCACATGCGTAGTGAGTAGACTCCTGGCCCGCTGGACAGCGGCCGCCTGGCTATTGGGCAAGCGTGGTTCGCGGGCGGGCTGGGGCGCTGGAGCCCCAAGGAGACCGCCGGACCCAAAACCTTCCAGTTTACAAGGATGGGGCCAGCAACCCACAAGGACAGGTAGCACCCCAATGCTGAGCTGGGGCTCGGACTAGTTTAGCTTTGAGACCAATTCAGGGAGATGCTCATTCATGCATTCATTCATTCAACAATATTTATTGAGCGCCTGTATGTGCCAGGCACAGTGGGGGAAAGGCATGACCAAGCGGACGTGCTCCCTGACCTGACGGGGTGCGTAGTTAGGGAGGGGGACAAACACAACCAACCAAAAAATGACCCAAGAACATTTCTGATGGAAATAATTGTGATGTGGAAAGTAAAATTAGGGGCACCTGGGTGGCTCAGTAGGTTAAGCCTCTGCCTTCGGCTCAGGTCATGATCCCAGGGTCCTCTGATCAAGGCCCACATCAGGCTCCCTAGAGCCGGGAGACTGCTTCTCCCTCCTCTTCTGCCTGCTTCCCCCGCTGCCTGTGCTTTGTGTGTGTGTCTGTGTGTGTGTGTCAAATTAATAAAATATTTTTAAAAAAGAAAACTAGTAATGGACTGGCAGGATTTATTTTTTTAAGATTTTATTTGACAGATAGAGTACAAGCAGGGGGAGCAGCAGAGGGAGAGGGAGAAGCAGGCTCCCTGCTTAGCAAGGAGCCTGATGTGGGGCTTGATCCCAGGATCCCAGGATCATGACCTGAGCCAAAGGCAGATGCTTAACCAACTGAGCCACCCAGATGCCCCAGGACTGGCAGGACATCGATGATAGGGAGGGAGGCTCAGGGCCACTACTGTCAGGGAAGGGGGGAGGGTATTTGAGCTGAGGCCTGAACCTTGTCTGCAGCCCCCAAGGTCCCAATCCCAGGCATCACCTTTAACACCTTGCTTTCCCTATCACCTTACATTTGACCAGTTTCTATTTTCTGGATCCTTAAGGCGGAAGGACCACAGGTTTGCCATGGGGTGCTATAGGAAAGGTCCAGAAACCCCACCTAGACTAGATCCAGCACTGAAAAGGGTTGCAGGGTCTTCCCAGTGGCAGGAGGGTGACCCAGGGAAATAAAAAACTTCTGACATCTAACTGTTCCTTCCAAGTGGAGAAACCATGACCACCAATATCAAAGGTTTATTTTCAGAAGGCTCCAGGGATTTCCAGGCACAAACAGGGTGGGAGCCAAGAGGGGCAGCTAGGGAATAGCTCTAATTAAACAAAAAGCACACTGGAAGGTAGGAAAGAAAGATAGATTCATTTTTTAAAAACATACTTCTTACTAGGGTAAGGGATGGCTGGAGGGGTTGCTGGTGGTGATCATAGAGGGATCACCAGTATTTTCTGAACATGCTTTTATTCACACTTTACAACTATTTGCTGAAATGTCCATATTAAGTATATATATACATAGATTTTAATTTGGATTGTCCTGGGCACTACCATTACTTTATTTTATCCTTTTTGTTCTAATGCTTTTGAGTACTTTTGTGGTCTTCTAACCTTTTTGACTAACAAGCATCTGCCCTCCTCTTTTGGGTGCCAACAATCAATTGCCCTTCAGGGAACATTCTGCAATTTTCAGTCCATGATATGTAGATGGCATGGGGCCTGCCACTGAATTACCCTCTCTCCCCACAAACACGCCTTCCCAAGTTGAAAGTCTTTACCAATCATCAGAGCCCATTGCTTTGCTTTCACGATTGGCTAGGGTAGGCATGTGGTTCTGTTTGCCCAGTGAGATGCAATTCTGGAGTTTTTGCTTAAACCACTGGAAAGAGAAGCACCTTTTTGCTTGGATGGCTGGTTTGAAGGATAACACAAATTTGCAGTGCCAGATGTCACTACTTAAGAGATATGTCCCAAGAGTGTGACCCTACACAGAGAGAAAGAAGCAAAGTTAGAGAGACACTGAGCTCCTGGATCCAGCCATACCTGAAGCTGAACCCTCCTGGATTTTCAGTTATACAAGCCAATAATTTATTCTCTCTTTTGCTGGAGTTGGCTTGAGGTCTATTTTCTGTCTCTGGCGCTGACTAAGACCACAGCTTCTGGGAGTCAGGTGCAGAGCTGGGCATTCTACAAACACGACTTCCAGTTCCAGCCACCATCCTATAAGATTAGAGAGGAAATAGAGACAGAGCAGGAATGGCAGCTGCCTGTACCAAGTTAAGTGCCAGAGCCAGGACTAGACCTCAGGTCTGACAGCAGAGCTTGGCTTCCTTCTCCACACTGGGTTTTGTAAGGTTTAAATGCTGCTAATACATGTCAGGTGCCTGGCTCACAAGTGCTCAGAAATTTCTGGTTACCCTGATCACTTACATATACCTGCACTAAGCCAGTTTCTGGGCAGAGAAAACAAAAAAGATTTGGTAGTAGCAGGGGTTATCAGGTCACCAAACCGGGCCATGCCCGCAGAGCAGAGGTGAAGAGCCGGTGCTCACCCTACTCACCCCCATTCACCCCACACCCAAGCAGTAACTCAATCTGTCCTAAACCCTGGTGATGAGTCAGAGGAAGCTGTGAGCCTGCTTATTGTGCAATGGCCGGACAGTGACCCAAGCCCTCCTCCCGCTCCATTGACCCCCAGTCCCGAGGAAGGCGAGGCTGAAGTGTCTGGTGACCAGGGCAGAACCCAACCCTGGCTGTTTTTGCTTTCTTCACTCATCAAAGAAAGCTGCTAACGCTAGTGTGTCCTGGGCGGGCTTCTCGGAGCAGCCCATGGTCTCTGTAAATCAGGGTGGATCTCATGCTCCCCATCACACTTAGGAAAAAATTCACCTTTCTCCTGTCGACTCAGGAGGCCCTCATCCCCCTTCCGCCTCCCTGGCCTCTCATTCCAGCCAGTCCAACGTCCTTGCTGTACCATCTCCAGATCTCGGCATGCGCTGCTGCCTCTGCTGACTGCTTCTGCATCATGGTACCCTCCACCTTCTCATCTTTCAGGTCTTTCCTCTGAGAGACCCTCCCTGAGGGCTTATCGGAAATCTGTCCCTGTGTGTGTCTCATGACCTGGGAACATCCCACTCTCTGAAGGCAGCTGTTTCCAGGGTCCTGTCTGCACCCTGCTAGACCAACTGAGACCAGAAGCTGAAAGTATGTTCACCCTACCTAAACATTCCTGGGCTTAAGTTCCCTGTCTGATGCACAAAGGACAGAAACATACCAATTCCTTAGTCTTAAGGCTTATTCTTTATCCCTTGAAGGTTCTGTGTACTTTAAGCCTCATTTTTAAAAAATAGATTTATTTATTTGAGAGAGAGAGAGAGAGAGAGAGAGAGTGAGGGCACAAACAGACTCCCTGCTAAGCTTGGAGCCTGACACAGGAGCTCCATCTCACAACCCATGAGATCATGACCTGAGCCAAAATTACGAGTTGGACGCTCAAACCGACTGCGCCACACAGGCGCCCCTAAGCCTCATTTTATACTTGCCTTTTCATTCTGTTTTCCTGGGTCCCCAGAGCTAACAGAAAACTAGGCACAGAGGGAGAGTTAGGAAGTGTTTGTTAAGTGAATAATTTTCTGCCTGGGAAACTCCTATTCATCCCTCAAAACCCACCTCAAATGCCCCCACGTCCAGGAATTCCATCCCGAACCCTAAGGAGAGCTGTGTTCCTCCCTCTAGGGTCACCCAGCCCTGGGTCCTTCTTCAGCCAATCCTGACCCAAAGGAGCTGAGAGGGTCCAATTGTTGACTAGTTCCACTTTAATTACACAGCACATCCAAGTGTGAGCTAAGAAGTGAGTCCTTCTAAGCCACTTCCTGCTGCATGCAGAATACGGTTTTCTCTCCTCTGCTTCATAGTTCTGCCTAGCTTCCTTTGTTACTGGCCAGCTTCCCCAGCATCAGCTCCCACTCTTCCCTTCCTCGCGTCCACCACTCCAGCCTGGCTGCATTCTGCCACAGGCTCTCTCCCTGCCTAGAAGGCCTTTCCTCTGCATCCAGACCATCGTACTCCTCAGCATAAAGCTTCTAAATACATCCTAAATTAAAACCTAAACTCCTGGGCCACCTGGCTGGCTCTGTCAGAGGAGCACACGACTCTTGGTCTTGGGGTCGTGGATGTTACTTGAATAAATCTTTAAAAATAATAATAATAAAATAAACCTAGGGACGCCTGTATGGCTCATTCAGCTGGGCGTCTGCCTTCACCTCAGGTCATGATCCCAGAGTCCTGGGATTGAGTCCCGTGTTGGGTTCCCTACTCGTTGGGGAGCCTGCTTCTCCCTCTGTCTGCTGCTCCCCCTGCTTGTGCACATGCTCTCTCTCTCTCTCTTTGACAAATAAATCTTTAAAATCAATAAATAAAATCTTCTTTCTTTTTAAATTTTATTTATTTATTTGATAGACAGAGATCACAAGCAGGTAGAGAAGCAGGCAGAGAGAGAGGGAAGCAGGCTCCCTGCTGAGCAGAGAGCCCGATGTGAGGCTCGATCCTAGGACCCTGAGATCATGACCTGAGCCGAAGGCAGAGGCTTAACCCACTGAGCCACCCAGACACCCCAATAAATAAAATCTTCTAAAAAATAAAATAAAATAAACCTAAACTCCTGAGCATTCCTTTGTGGTCCCGCCCTAACCAATTCTCCACCTGTGTGACAAGAGAAAAGTGACTTCACCTCTCTTAGCCAGGCTGTCTGGTATTAAATGAGAACAGTGGTACTCCTTCTTGCAGGCTCTT